TGTGATCCATTCTACTAGCCTGTGTCTCTTGATTGGTGAGTTTAAGCCATTAACATTTAGGGTTATTATTGAGATATGGGCTGTTCTTCCAGCCATATTTGTTTATTTATGTTACTAAACATGGTTTGTTTTCCTCTTTGATTATTTTCTCCCCTTTAGTGTCCTACCTCCCACTGTTGGTTTTCATTGTTATTTTCCATTTCCTCTTCCTGTAATGTTTTGCCAAGGATGTTTTGAAGAGATGGTTTTCTAGCTGCAAATTCTTTTAACTTTTGTTTATCGTGGAAGGTTTTAATTTCATCTTCCATCCTGAAGCTTAATTTCGCTGGAAACACAATTCTTGGTTGGAACCCATTTTCTTTCAGTGTTTGAAATATGTTATTCCAGGATCTTCTAGCTTTCAGAGTCTGTGTTGAAAGATCAGCTGTTATCCTGATTGGCTTACCCCTAAATGTGATCTGCTTCCTTTCTCTTGTAGCTTTTAAAATTCTCTCCTTATTCTGTATGTTGGGCATCTTCATTATAATGTGTCTAGGTGTGGGTCTCTTATGATTTTGCACATTCGGCATCCTGTAGGCTTCTAGGATTTGGGGTTCTGTCTCATTCTTCAAGTCTGGGAAGTTTTCTCGTATTATCTCATTGAATAGATTGCTCATTCCTTTGGTTTGAAACTCTGTCCCTTCCTGTATCCCAATGACTCTTAAATTTGGTCTCTTGATGTTATCCCATATTTCTTGGATGTTCTGCTCATGGTTTCTTAACAGTCTTGCTGAGCTGTCTATGTTCTTTTCAAGTTGAAATACTTTATCTTCATTGTCTGATGTTCTGTCTTCTAAGTGTTCTACTCTGCTGGTAGTATTCTCAATTGAGTTTTTAAGTTGGCTTATTGCTTCCTGCATTTCTAGGATTTCTGTTTGTTTGTTTTTTATAACCTCTATTTCCCTGTATAGTTGATCTTTTGCTTCTTGGATTTGTTTATGTAATTCATTGTTGAAGTGATCTTTCATTGTCTGATTTTGCTGTCTGATGTCTTCCTTGAGACTCCAGATCATCTGAAGCATGTATATCCTGAATTCTTTATCTGACATTCCATCTGCTGCAGCTATTACCTCTTCTAACGTTGAGTTGACCTGCAATGCTTGTGGTCCTTTCTTTCCTTGTCTCTTCATACTGTTCCCGTTCCTTTCTACTTGGTGAAACTGTTGTGCTATTGAATTTTCCCCCTATATATTTATATTGGTCTTGTATAGTTGCAAAGTCTCCCTCGCAGGAGCGGGCGGCGGCTCTGTCCCTCTGCGGGCCGCTAGGCTTGTTCTGTCGGTGGTCACAGTTCTGTCTACTCTGCAGGCGCAGGCAGCGGCACTGCCCCTCTGCAGGCCTCTGGGGCTGTACTGCCAATGGGTCGCAGGTGCGCCTACCTTGCAGGCGCGGGGGGGGGGGCGGCTCTACCCTTCCTCAGGCCACTGGGCCTGTTCTGTCTCTTGGTTGCAGGTCTGGCCTGCTCTGATGGTGGTCACAGTTCCGTCTACCTTGCAGGCGCTGGGGGGAGGGGGCGGCTCTGCCTCTCAGCAGGTCGCTGCTCCTCTTCTGCAGGTGGGTTGCAGGCCCGCCTACCTTGCAGGAGTGATTGGAAGCTCTGTCCCGCCGCAGGCCACTGGGCCTTTTCTGTCCGTGGTCACAGTTCCCCTACCTGGCAGACGCGGGGGGTGTGGGGCGGCTCTGCCCCTCAGCAGGCCGCTGGGCCTGCTCCGTGCATGGTCACAGTTCCCTCTACTTTGCCGGCACAGGGGGACGGGGCGGCTCAGCCTCTCAGCAGGCCGCTGCTCCTCTTCTGCCGGTGGGTCACAGGCCCGCCTACCTTGCAGGAGTGATTGGAAGCTCTGTCCCGCCACGGGCCACTGGGCCTTTTCTGTCGGTGGTCACCGTTCCACCTACCTGGGAGGCGCGGGGGGTGGGGGGCGGCTCTGCCCCTCAGCAGGCCGCTGGGCCTGCTCTGTGCGTGTTCACAGTTCCCTCTACCTTGCCAGTGCAGGGGGAGGGGGCAGCTCTGCCTCTCAGCAGGTCGCTGCTCCTCTTCTGCTGGTGGGTCGCAGGCCCGCCTACCTTGCAGGAGTGATTGGGAGCTCTGTCCCGCCGCGGGCCACTGGGCCTTTTCTGTCCGTGGTCACAGTTCCACCTACCTGGCAGGCGCGGGGGGTGGGGGGCGGTTCTGCCCCTCAGCAGGCCGCTGGGCCTGCTCTGTGCGTGGTCACAGTTCCCTCTACCTTGCCGGTGCAGGGGGAGGGGGCGGCTCTGCCTCTCAGCAGGTCGCTGCTCCTCTTCTGCCGGTGGGTCTCAGGCCCGCCTACCTTGCAGGAGTGATTGGAAGCTCTGTCCCACCGCAGGCCACTGGGCCTTTTCTGTCGGTGGTCACCTGGCAGGCGCAGGGGGTGGGGGGTGGCTCTGCCCCTCAGCAGGCCTCTGGGCCTGCTCTGTGCGTGGTCACAGTTCCCTCTACCTTGCCGGTGCAGGGGGAGGGGGCGGCTCTGCCTCTCAGCAGGTCGCTGCTCCTCTTCTGCCGGTGGGTCGCAGGCCCGCCTACCTTGCAGCTGGTTTGATATTTCTTAATGCCTTCAATTTCAAAAGAATAAAAGGTAGCAAGGCATAGGGGAAAAATCCTGTCTTCAGATTTAGAGAACTAGGTGCCTGATAGGGTCAATCATACATACTCTAGAATCCAAGGAAACTTTACAGAATGTTGTTAAGAGAAGGATATTGCTCCATAGACATCCGTGAAAGAAGCACATAAGATTGACAGGGTAAAATTAATGTGTATTTATCTCAGTATCCACATTGGATTATGATTCATATTTGACTTCTACTTAAATAACTAAGCCTCAGAAGAAAAACAACCTATGCAACGTTTCACTGAGACTTTTGAGTTCAGCAAGCACTTTTGCATACATTGTCCTGTTTGAACCTCTCAAGTTTTATTACCATCCCCATTACATATATGAGAAATCAGTTTACATAAAGTTAGGTAATCTGCCTAGAGCCAGTTTGTTTGTTCACATTAGATCAAAAACTAAGATTTAAGTTTCCTGACTCTTAGTCCAGTGCACTTTCCAGTATATAAGATAATCTAGTTTTTACACAACCTTATATGAAAGCATATTTCACATAACCTTATTTCAAATTTGTGTCAGACATATAGGACAGACTCTTGACAGGGAAAGATCTGACAACTATGATAAGATCAAAAGGTCCAGGACACATCATTTTGCTGAGTGAAAAATTTTAAGTATAATAAAACTATCATTTGGCAACAAATCCCTTATTATGAGTAAGCTCAGTCTATCACACAGTAACCATGTGACTATGAAGTTTTGTTAATTTCCAATTTATCTTAATGTAGACCTTAACTCGAATTAAACTATTTCGTTGTGAAAATGGTTCTTTAAAAAGTCATCTGCTAGTTTGATGATTAAAGAGATTTGGTTTCAGAAAGCACTTATTTTTAGAACATGGAAGCTTTGAATTTATTTAAATGTACAACGGAGAATTTGTCCATAGTTTAGAATAATGGTGCTAACAAATTACTATTAGCTCCATGAGGAAAAATATTTTACATTGCTTCATCTAGTATTTTAACTAAGGAAAAAGAGTACATTTTATGGAGTGATATACTGTAATATGATTTATGGATCTGGGAATTCCTTAGTCAAAAATATCAAGATTGTGCTCTTCTACTACTTTTCCCATACTGTCTTAATATTGTATTACAATTGCTTATTTGATGAGAAACTTAAAGTTAAAATGAAGTATTTTTCTACAATCATGATTCATAATAAAAAGTACTGAAATACTGCCTGTAATTATTTCAACAAAGTGGGTGATGAAAAGAATAATTATGATAAGGTATATGCATATGTACTTTTATAGATACATTTGAATTCCAAAAATTTCCTTTGGTTTGTGTATTACTCGGGGTTCTCCAGAGAGGAAGAAATTATAAGATCATCATTAGAGAGATAGATAAGTAGATAGAATAGATAGATAGATAAATGATAGAGGATTTATTAGATAAATTACATCATGTGACTATGGAAGCTAAAGAGTCCTATAATAGGCTATTGCAGGCTGGAGAGCCAGGAAGTACAACGCTTCAGCCTCATAATAAGAGTAGGATACAACTTCAGTTTCCAAAGCTGAAGGCCCAGGAACTATAGGAAGCTGATGGTGCTAGTACTTAAGTACAAATCCAGAGAACTTGGACTTCTGAAGCTGAAAGACAGGACAAGACAGTTGTTCCAATTCCAATAGAGAGAGAGAGAGAGGGAATTTTCCTTTCCTCTGACTTTTAATTCTATCCAGGACCCTAACAGAGTAGATGGTGCCCACTCAGTTCACCACCTCCAATGCTAATCTTTTCTGGATATGTCTCACAGACATATCCAGAAATGATGTTTTACCAGCAATCTATGTATTCCTTAGTCCATTCAAGTTGACATCAAAACTTAACAATCACTGTTTTTTATATTGTTGTTTTTTTTTTTAAAAAGATAATGATCAGAGCAAAAAATTTTCTCAGTGCAATCTTAATAATAGTGGGGATAGTCTCTTCTGATATGTTTTCTTATTAGTCAAGGATTAACTCATACTTTTGATTAATGTTACCTTCAAAGGCAAGTCCAACTAAGCAGAACTTAATTCTCTCTCAAAAAAATAAGGGATTATTTCCATTTGATTCTTTCATGTTAGTTCCTGGGAAGGAAATCATAAAAATAAAGTTAAAAATGAGTACTATTCTTTATTTTTGTTTATATAATAGCTTGAACATTTAAATTTCCCAGAAGTCCTCATAATATTTTAATATTTTTGCCTGTACAATGGTAAGATGATTAGAAGAACAGTTGAAAAATATGTCATCTCTGAGTTTTCCTTCAGATATTAAAGGGCTCATCCTTGGCCTCTAATGATAACCAGTAGTCAATTTTCTTATTTTTTTTCCTCATTCTCAGGTAAGCCTCTGAATATCCCTTGCAAAGCATTCTTTGGATTCAGTGGAGAATCTGGGCCAATGATCTACTGGATGAAAGGGGAGAAGTTTATTGAAGAACTGGCAGGCCACATTAGAGAAGGAGAAATAAGGTACAGAACCTTAATTGTTTGTTTTTCTTTGCTGTCTTTGCAGTTAAAAAATAAAATATCCTAAAAAGGATTCTGCCTAGGATTTTAGTTGCAACTTCAAAACACTCCATTCTCTAAAGTGGATCTGGTAGACAAACCAAGGGTAACTACCTAAAGAAATGAAAATTTGTAAGCTGCTGATAAACATGTTTTTTTTTCAGGTTCTAAGAATATGTCATCAGAATATAATGACCCTCTCAAAGTACCTAAGCAAATTCCTTTGAGTTTCCGAAGCTAAGGCTACTGTTACTCCATCCAGTCATAGCAAAGGTCCAAACTGTGCAGGTGACTTCTCAGTCTACTGGGCAAATGTTCATTTACTCCCTTGGGAACAGACAATCTTCATATGTCACAAGTGTAAAGCTGTGATGGCAGTAGCACACTGATAATCTGCCAAAATCGGTGTTGACTCTTTTTGAATAGAGTTTATTTTTCCCAGCATCCAGTGCTCATCCTGAAAGTTACTGATCCTTCAGGTTAGCACCTCTCTAGACCTTGCTCTCACTCTCCTGTTACCCAGTTACCTTCCTTGTGTATAGGTATGGATTCAATGCAATTGTTTTTTTTTTTTTTTTCATTCTAATTAGTACCTTCTTATTTTTTTCAAAACAGAGATAGGACACTTTTCTTAACTCATTCAATCTGTGATGTTTCCTATTGATTTCACTAATAACGATTTGTAGAGTAGGCTCCCCTTTCTGATAGGGATTGGGCTACCTCCTCTCAACCCCTATCAATAATCATGTGCTGGAAATTAATCTAGTATTTCAGTACATGTTAATAAGGACTCCTTCAGATTTCTTACTGAATATATAGCAGTGTAAATGAAACAAGTATACTTTATAATATTTACTATAATTAAATATAATTTATAATTACTCCCATGATAATCATTTACCACGCAATTTGATGGTCCATGAATTCCAAGAGCCTATACCAAATATTGACTATAGGAGATATTTCTAGAAAAAAATATACATGAAAAAATGTTCAATGTTATTAGTCAACATGGAAATTCAAATCAATACCTTATGGTATCGCTTCATATTTACTAGTATGGCTTTAATTTTTAAAAAATCACTTTATAGCAAACATTGGTGAGGATGCAAAGAAATTGGAAATCAGTTAAAATGCACAACAGTGCAAACACTTTGGAAAACAGTCTCATAAGTCCTCAAATAGATAAGCATATAATTGCCATTTGATGCAACAATGCATCTCCTAGATATGTAACCAAGAGTAATCAAAACATACAACCTCACAAAAAGGTATCCATGAATGTTAATAGTTGCTTGATTCATAATACACAAAAGGTGGAAACAATGTAAATGTCTATCACCTAATGAATGGATAAATAAAATGTAGTGTATTCATACAAAGAATTATTGTTTGCCATGAAAAAAATTGAGGTACTAATATTCACTAGAATATGGATAACATTGAAAATATTTTTCTCAGTAAAATAAGCCAGTGAAAAATAAACATATTAACATGATTCATGTAAAATGTTCAGAATAGGCAAATCCATGACAGAAAGTAGATCACTGGTTATTTAGGGCTGGTGAGGAGGGATGGAGTGATAGGACCATAATAGCTAAATTGTATGGGTACATTTATATGTATGTGTCATAAAATACAACTTAATGTAAAATACATCATTATAAAGTATACAATTCATTGGAATTCAGTGCATTCATAATATTGTGCAACCACTACCACTCTATAGTTCCAGAACATTTTTAACCACCCCCGCCCCCCTCGGAAAAAAAAAAAAATCCTGCTTTGCAGTAAGGGACTGAATAACTTATGTCCTTCCTTCCTTCCTTCCTTCCTTCCTTCCTTCCTTCCTTTCTTTCTTTCTTTCTTGAGGTTATGAAAATGTTATAAAATTGATCATGTTATGGTTGCACATATCTGTGATTATTCTCAAAATTAATTGGGTTGTATACTTTCAATAGGTAAATTGTATATTATATGAACTTTATCTTAATAAATCTGCTTTTTAAAAAAATTTAATTCTCTAGGATAGAATAGATTTTCATTTTAGCTATCTTCCAAAAATAAACTTTATTTTTTAGTGCAAACTATAACAAATGTGTTTTTCAATTATTTTGATCCATAACATTCATTGTTTTGGCTTTTAGTCAGTTATTCTTTTTATTAGTCCACAAGTAATACTTGTACATATTTATGAAATACAGTATGGTAATTTAATGCATCTACACATTGTGCAGTGATCAAATGAGGTAATTAACATTTCCATTTCCTCAAACATTTATCATTTTCATGTGTTGGGAACCTTCAAACTCTTCGAGAAGAAACCTTGATTTTTATAGTAATTTCTAACTTACAAAAAACTTGTGAAGGGCTGGGGATGTGGCTCAAGCGGTAGTGCGCTCGCCTGGCATGCGCGCGGCCCGGGTTCTATCCTCAGCACCACATACAAACAAAGATGTTGTGTCTGCCAAAAACTAAAAAAAAATAAAATAAATATTGGAAAATTCTCTCTCTCTCTCTCTCTCTCTCTCTCTCTCAAAAAAAAAAAAAAACTTGTGAAGATATTATGGAGCGTTCATATATACCTAATACTTAATTTCTCCAATTGTTAACATCCTGAATTGCTATGCTACATTTGTTATAACTAATTAACTAAAATTGATACATTATTGTTAATTAAAATCTTTTTTTACCATCCAATTTCCTTAGTTTGGCTCCTTCCTTTTTCTCCTCCAGTATTATTTTTTAAGAACATGCCTAACTATATTCTAAAGTGGTTATACAATTTTATAAAAGATGAAGTGAGACACTGCTTGTGTTGCTCTCTAGCAGCAAATGATTAGAATTGGTTGGAGACAGGGCTGGGGTTGTGGCTTAGTGGTACGGCACTTGCCTAGCATGCATGAGGCAACTGTGTTCAATCCCTGACACCACATAAAAATAAACAAATAAAATAAGGGTATTATGTCCATCTACAACTAAAAATTTTAAAAAGAATTGGTTGGTGTCAAAACATATAAACATGAAGTAATTAAGTCAAGAAGAAGCCAATGTACCAGGTGCCAAATGAGTCAACAGGCTAGTAAGTGCTATAGAAGTCAACCTTTCAGGACTTGCAAAATGCTATTGTTTATTTGATTTTTGTTACATCCCTTCTTCCACCTTTCCCAACACCCACCTGTGGTTTAAAAAAGGACCATATTATATTTACAGTGGAGGAGAGTTATAGAAAATTTATTTTGAAAATTTCACACAACCAAATTACTAACTACAGACACTTTAGGAGAAATAAAGAGGCAGAAATTTCTTGCCAACAAAAACATATAGTTGGCCATTTTGTAATATTAATTGTGAGATCTGTAATTTATTTGGGAGATTGAGTGGGTTCCAGCATTCCTTCAGGCTATGGCCATTTATGCTAACCTAGAAGTTAACTACTAGACCCTGTCTTCTAGCCTTCAAAGCTAATGTCCTTGAAACAAAGCATACAAGATTTTTATACAGCCTGACAGATTGGAACAAATCAGGCAGTTTATAATAAAAAAAATTGCTAATCATCCTATTACTAGAACCAAGAGAAGACATATATTCTTTCACAGACAATTCTTACACATTGTCTCCAAAGGAAATAACTCTGAAGGTAAAACACTGTGGATTTTGATTAGGGGATTCCTCTTGAAGACATTTCTGTAAACAAAATTTAATTTTGAAAGCATGGCTCTCCTTCAGAATTTTCTCTGTCAATCCAGGTTATTATAAAAAAATACTGTAGACTGGATAATTTATAAATAGTAAAATTTGTTGCTCACATTTCTGGAGATTGGAAAGTCCAGGATCAAGGATACAGAAGATTTGTTGTCTTGTGGGACCCTGTTCCTCATAGATGGTGACTTCTTTGTGTCCTCATAAGCAGAAAGAACAAAGGAGTAAACTTCAGTCTATTTTATTATAAGAGCACTATCACATTCATAAAGTTGGGCCCTTCAGGGCTTAACTAATTTTCAGAGGCCTCACCTCCTAATCCTATCATATTGAGTATTAGGTTCTAACATATGAATGGAAGCACTAATGTTCAAACTCTAGAAGGGATGTTTTATTAGATTTATTATTTTAATTGAATTATAGCTCTTATGTTGTGCACACATGTCAAAAGTCTATTGCTTTAAAAAGTGGGTAGTGATTACTAGGCATTGAGAAATGCATGTGGGGGGATGGTGGTTGGATTTGATCAGTGCACGATGTACACATGTATAAAATATACTGAATTCCATTATTATGTAAAACTAGTATATATTAATAAAATTTTTAAAAGTACATTGCCAAGTAGATTAAAAGTGGGGATATAAATAAATAGCTCTCAGGCAGTTGACTTATGGAGAAGCTGTCCTAGAGGCATAGAATCTGGCAGGAAGACTAGCCCCTCAGCCTAGGTTCTCAATTTCCTAGGCAGCAGCTTGATCCTACAAGTATGTGTTGCAACTTTTAATCTCTTAGTAGTGCCCCAAAGGAATGGAGGATTTTTTTTAAATCACTCAGGGGAAAGATTTGGATACACACCAAGGGCTTGATGATATAATGTCACTCAGATTTCACAAAGTGTCACCTCTGTATTTAGCAGATTCCCTGAAGCTTGACTAGAATATGAGATGAAATTCTGGCCAGCATTTTAGAGTTCTCATTTGTTTGCTCTCTGGGTCATTTTGACCACTGAGGACTCTAACAGCTCCTGATTTGCAGCTCATTGCCAAAGCACTTAGACCCTGCACTGGGCATACACATTCCCCTTTATCTCCCTTTAAGCAAAGATTGGCAAAGGCCTCCCATGTCTCTGATGTTGCTAAGAGATTAAGCCCCAAGAAAATCTGAGCTCAAATGTAGCATCTATTCACAACTGCCAGCCTGTCCCAGGCAACTGCATCAGAACCCTTTCACTGAACCCAGAAGATATAATTTGTAGAGATTGT